CGTGCTTCTGCTCACACCACATGCTAGGGGGGGGGTCCGACCCCCCCCAGAGGCTTCACCACATGCTGGGGGGGGGGTCCCGCCCCCCCCAGCACCTTCACCACATGCTAGGGGGGGGGTCGTGGCCGAAGACCCCCCCAGAGACTCGTGGTCAGACCCTCCGGGCCCTTGATTTTACGCCTCATTTCGCAGCATTTTCGAGGGGAAAATCATCTTTTGGAGCTACATGAGCCTTGAGACTGGTCAGATTCTCCAAGATATTGGTCTTTCAGCCACGATTTCACAATTTTGGGGGCAAAATCGGCTCTCTGGCGGCTATTCCTAGCCCACGAACTGCTGGGGGGTGCCCACCACATGCTAGGGGGGGGGGTCCGACCCCCCCAGAGGCTTCACCACATGCTAGGGGGGGGGTCCCGACCCCCCCAGCGCCTTCACCACATGCTAAGGGGGGGGGGGTGGGGCGTGAACAAAAACACCCCCCCCTCCCTGGAAGCGATGTCCGCCTGCTCCTGCCGGCACCACCCTGCGAGCGCTGCCACGAGCCGGTCGGCGAGGGAGGCTCCCGCCTCGGCCGGCGAGGCAGGCTGGGGCCACCGCCGAGGCGGGCCCGGGCTCCAGAGCCGCATCGAGCATGGGCACCGATCCGTTGCGCTCGGAGGACGGAGCGGACTGGGCCCGCTCTGGGCCATCCGTCTCCGCCACCGTGTTGCTCGGCGTGGGCATTGCCGGCATCCGCATCCTCGCGGCGGCGGCAGCCTCCTCGCTCAAGGCGGCCGCTGCGCGGGGCGATCCTCGCGCCCACCGTCGACGCGCTCCTCCTCGCTCCCCCTGTCGAGCGCCACCGGAGCTGGCGTCGCCTCAGCCGTCGGCGTGGGCGGAACCGGGTCGACGGAGCCAACCTCCACGGGCTCGCTCTGTGCGGCAGGCGCCTGCTTGGCGGAGCTCGGCGGCACCGCGAGCGAGTAGTCATCGTGCTCGGCCCGGGAGCAAGTCTGACCCATGTTCGCCACGCTCTTGTGGATCGTGGACGGGCACGTCAACACGGGGCGCAGGCGCCGGCTTTCGCGTGGACCGTGGACGCGTCCGCTCCTCCGCGACTCTCGCGTGGATGGCAACGCACTTTTAGATGTGCGAGGCTGGTACACGGCGCACCGACCGACATACCTAGCACCATGACGATGTCAACCAACCCGCTGTTTAGACCCCCCCCCCACCCACCCACCCACCCACCCACACACACACACACACACACACACACACACACACACACACACACACACCGCACCACCCTACCCCCACAGCCCGCTCTACGGCCCCAACGCCTCGATCTTCTTGGGCAGCGACTGGCGCTGCTGGTCGCCGTGGCCCAACTGACCTGAGGCTCCACCACCCCAGCCCAAGACGGCGCCGTCGGCGGTGAGGGCGAGGCTGTGCGCCCCTCCAGCCGACACGGAGACGACGCGCTGGTCAGCGAAGGCCTCGATCTTCTTTGGCAGTAGCTGGTTTTGCTCGTCGCCGTGGCCCAACCGACCATAGGCTCCACGGCCCCAGCTCCAGACGGCTCCGGCGGCGGTGACAGCGAGGCTGTGGTTGCCTGCTGCCGACACAGCGATGACGCGCTGGCCAGCAAAAGCCTCGACCTTCTTGGGCAGCTGCTGCTGCTGCTGGTCACCGTGGCCCAACTTGCCAAAGCCTCCCCCGCCCCAGCTCCAGACGGCGCCGTCGGCCGTGAGGGCGAGGTTGTGCGCTCCTCCAGCCGACACAGCGACGACGCGCTGGCTAGCAAAGGCCTCGATCTTCGTTGGCAGCAGCTGGTTTTGCTCGTCGCCGTGGCCCAGCTGGCCAGAGCACCCCCAGCCCCAGCTTCAAACGGCTCCGTCGGCAGTGATGGCGAGGCTGTGGTTGCATTCCGCCGAAACGGCGACGACGCGCTGGCCCGCCAACGCCTCGAAGAAGTCGTCGAGCCGAGTAAGATTGGGCAGCGATTGGTTCTGCTGATCGCCGTGGCCCAGCTTGCCTCCCGCTCCACTGCCCCAGCTCCAGACGGCGCCGTCGGCGGTGAGGGCGAGGCTGGTTCCTACCGACACGGCGACGACGCGCCGACCGGCAAATGCCTCAATCTTCTTCGGCTGCCACTGGTGCTGTGCGTCGCCGTGGCCCAGCCCGCCGCAGTCTCCACAGCCCCAGCTCCAGACGGTGCCGTCAGCGGCGAGGGCAAGGCTGTAGCCGCCTCCAACCGACACGCTCACGGCGCGCTCGCCGCCCAGCGTCGAGGGGAGACCGGTCGGCGTCTTAAGCCGCAGCACGCCCTCGCCGTGACCGAGAAGGCCTGGAAATTCCTCCGCGTCGTCCTCCTCGTCCTCCTCGCCCTGTGCTGCCGCGCCGCACGACGAGAGCCGCCCCTCGCCGTCGATGAAGACGCTGTGCCGCCAGCCTGCCGCCGCCCTCGCCGGCGGGTTGGACTCGCACAGCAGCGCCGAATAGCACAGCCACCGCACGGCGCAGCCCTCGCCGTCTGGCTGCGCCGGCAGCTCGAAGCCGCGCTCTTGCGCCCGCAGGCGGATGCCCTCCACCGCAAGCGAGGCGTGGAAGAGCAGCGAGACGCCCGCAACGCGAGCGATGTCGGTGGGCTCGCAGCGAGAGACAACGCGCGCGAGGAGGTCCGTGGGGAGGTATATATACACATCAGGCAGTTTCGGAGCGGAGGCGAGAAAAGAAAAACGGCCTGCACGCCAGACACTCCGGTAACCCAGGATTTTCTCTCGCTGGCCTTGTTTCCCTCCCCGGGCCCCGCTCCCCGACCCAGGTCCAGACACTGCGAGCTTTGCGTGTCTGGGGGTGGCATGCGATGACGAGGCGATTGCTGGGGCGCTTTAACCCATCTTGGACAGGGGAATGGCCTCTCGCGTCTCCATGCTGCCCCGACCCTCGCCGCTCTGGCCAGCGCTTTCTGTGCCCGCGGGATTTCGGCCGACTTTTTACTGCATACTGGGGGACTCAGACAAAAACCAAGAGAGTTGACTTCATCCAATTTCATCGCGAGACCACGCAACTCTCCGACTCCCACGTCCCCCACACGCTGATCGTTGTGATCAAATCCCGCTCCGACAGCTCGAAAGAATTCGACAAAGGAAGTCTGATCCGCTGGCCCCGCGTGCCGTGCTGACACCTTAGACGAGCGGCTGACGCTTGCGGCGCCGAAAGATGGCGAGACCGATGAAAATACCAACGGCGACACCTGGCAAGCAGGCAGGGTGCGGGCTTGAGTCGGAGATCTCGCAGTAACTGCATGTTTGGGGAGGGGTCCGCAGGGATCGCAGGCGCGCGCCAGCGCCGGCGCCAATGGCACTGCCCGAGGAGCCGAGGAGGAGATTTGCTTGCGTCGAGGACGAGGCGGGCGTGAGCCACCCCCCCTGCGCGTCAGGGTGTCCCTGCGGTCATTTCTAGGAAGGTGGGTAGGAGATGAGCGTTAACTAGCGCGAGCCTGGAGCATCGGCCGTGCGTTTGGCTCGCTGACGAGGCGAACACCTCCCGCCTTCTTCTTTATCTCATCCAGGTCGAGCTCGCTCCTGTCGGTGGCTTGGTACTCCGCGTAGATGCCCGTCAGTTCTTTCTTGAGCGCGTCCTTGGAGGACGCGTAGAGCATCTTGGGCTTGATGCTCGCATTGTCGTCGCTCCACGAAACAAAGACGAGCTTGTTGGCAGTGGCACCCGATTTGGTTTTGATCTCGACGTCGAGGACCGCGTAGCGGCAATCATTGTCTGGGAAGTTTTTTGTGAAGTCGTCAAAAGAGTCACCCTTTTTTTCGATCTCGATGGACTTTTTGTCGTCACTGATCTTGAAGATGATGTACTGCGCGCAGCGGGAGAGGGCTGGCAGGGCCTAAGCAGTGGATGCGCTTCTGGGCGGGCACACTGTCATGCACACTCACCGGGTACTTCGAGCGGATCTTCATATCCTCAAACGCCGTTTTGCAGTCGTCATTCACTTGCACGCCTGACGACTGCGGGGGGCGGGGGATGCCGGGTTTAGAGGAGGAACGAGTGGCGGGTCGCCACTCGCCGATCACTTACCATGCGGCTGCGCGCCAGCACCGATCGGCGAGAGTAATCGGCGAGAGTGTCGGCGATACTACGAAAGTTGGCCCGCTTGAAGCTTCAAGTAAAAAATCCCTATGCCGTGGCGGCGTGCCGTCCTCCCATCCCTCTCTCTGTTTTAAAAGAAAAGAGCAGCCCGAGGAATGTCTGGTCTCTGCTGCACCGAGAGATGCCCAGGCCGCTTTTAAAACCTAATCGGCCGAGGACCGCCGCAAGCGGCGTGGCGCGGGTCGGTTGTGCATCCCTCCGGGGGCCCCTCTGCGCCGGGGAGGCGTTTGAAATCGATCCTTGAAATTCTTCTTCCCTGTATGTTGGCGGAGAGCCGTCCTCCCATCCCCCCTCGGGTCGTCTGTTTTGTTTCTTTGTTTTCTGTTTTTAAATCTACCCTCTGTTAGACCGGGTTAGATCGGGAAGTTGGTGCTCTGAGCGACTCTGAGCGCCGGGGCCCCGTTTCCGCACTGCGGCGCGGCGCACGGTGCCTCCGGGGGGCCCCGCGCCCCCCCAGAGCTTTCTAGTCTATGTAGTCTGTAGAGCTCAGAGATATCACTCTCTCTCAGTGTGTATTAGGCGAGCTTGAAACACTCACACACGCACAGGGTCACATCCACTCTCATGAGACAGCAGAGGCCAGAGCGGACACGACACTGGGGAAGGGGAGAGCGGGGGCGGGGGCGGGGGCGGGGGCGGGGGCGGGGGCGGGGCGCGGCGCACGCGTGCGCGCGACTGAGGGCAGGGGTGGGGATTCCCGCCGTGCACACGCTGCGCGCGCACACACCACATACCCTCATGAGACACACTGAGGGAAGGCGAGGCGGCGGCAGCGGCGGCGGCGGCGGCGGCGGCGGCGGCGACAGCGCGCGCGCGCGACGGAGGGGCGGAGCAGCGACCGGTGCGCGGTCGCTGCTCCGTCTGTCCCGGAGCGCCGTCTGCACGGGGTGCGTGTCAGGAGAGGGGGTAACCGTGGCGGCGCGGGGACACGCGGCGGTGGCGGCGAGCAGGCGAGCGATCCGTGCGCGGTGAGTCGCCCGGCGAGAGGGCGGCGGGTGACGGGGCTAGGAAGCAGCCCACACCCGACCCGTCGCTCGAACGACTTCGACGCCTGCACAGGGGCCGCAGGGCGGTCAGTGGTGAGGCGAGGCGGACCCGGCCGCGGCCCGGGTGCAAGGCGTTGTGAATGCCATGTGCGTTAAGGCCGGGACGG